TTTTCATGTTCACATTTTCAGTTTAATATTTACAAAGCCAAAAGCACAACTTCCACGTGAAGCTTTTCGACTCCAAATGGTTTGCAAAATTATTTTCAGATAATAAATGACACTCGAGGAGAAAGCTTTTGAATCTTAATTTGTCTGTTCTTTTATAAATTAATGGGTTTGAGTTGTTAAAATGAAGGAAAAGAAAAACGTGGAGTTGTTTCTTAATATAATATATATACGCTCAAGATTCCATCTAAATTATTATTGGTTGTTGGATGGAGAGCGATTTTGCAATGGCTGCCTGAAAAGTTGACCCTAGTCCAACTACCTACAGACGGTGGTTAAGTTATTAGCACTATATATATATGTTCAACCCATTTCTGCATTTCCATCGGAGAACAACCAAGTGAAAGGATTCGACTTTGGAGAGAAAAAACAAGTTTTTTTTAATAGAAAATGAAGAAGGCAATCAACAGGCAACAAATTTTGCTTGATCACTTAAGACCCTCCTCACAATCCCATCAATCTTCTGCTGCTGCCCTCTTGGTTCGTTTAATCTTCTTTATTTGTTTGTTTCTTTCCTCTCTTTTTTTTCTTTCTTTGAAAGTGGATTTGTTTTCGTTTGATCAGCCTTCAATCTGTGCGGCGGGGGATAGCGCTGCTTATCCCCGGACTGCTGCTTTTGGGGATGATATTGTGATTGTGGCGTAAGTCATTTGATCTATATATTCTTTGAATCCAAAGGAATTCATAGGAAAAAAACAAAAACAGTTTTTTCCATTTCATGTTTTATGTGTTTATTTGGTGTATTTATAAGGGAAATTGTTGTTTCACAGAGCATGCCGCACTCCAATATGCAAGTCAAAGCGTGGAGGCTTTAAGGATACACCAGCAGATGATTTGCTTGCCCCTGTGTTGAAGGTTAAATGCTTTGCTTTTGGTTTTTAAGTTCAGTTGTCTTCGAGTCTAGTTTCCTTGTGCTTCCTACTTAAGTTAATTCTCAATGCACGCAGGCTTTGATTGATAGAACAAAGGTGAACCCAAGTGAAGTCGGAGATATAGTTGTCGGTACCGTGTTGGCACCCGGTTCACTTAGAGCAACGGAGTGTAGGATGGCGGGATTCTATGCCGGTTTCCCTGGTATGGTTTTTTTCTTTCACCCTTTGTGATTTCATAGTCTTTTCAGAGAGTTTAACTGATTTGTTTTTAATTTTCTATTGAATTTTATTCGTTAGCGATGCATTTGCATATAATTGTTGTTAATATAGTAACCTGTTTCAACCAGATACGGTGCCTATTAGAACTGTCAATAGGCAATGTTCATCGGGCCTACAAGCAGTTGCTGATGTTGCTGCTTGCATAAAAGCAGGATTTTATGATATCGGTGAGGATGTTGTATCTTATCTATATATTTGAATGCCGAGAAAGATTTTTCCAATATTCGAGCAACCTTCACCATGGATCCGGTATTAACCTTCTTGGTTTCCAATGTAGGCATTGGTGCTGGATTGGAGAGCATGACAACTGATGGTTTAGCTGCAGGGTTAGAGAAAGTTAACCCAAAGGTATGTCAGACACACTGTTTGTTTTCACTATTTAGGATATGCTTCACATTAGCAGCTTAATATGCAACTGCATTTATTTTTACAGACAGATAGCTTCGCTCAAGCCCGGGATTGTCTTCTTCCTATGGGCATTACTTCTGAAAATGTTGCACAACGCTATGGTATCACACGGCAAGAGCAAGACCAGGCCGCTGTAAGTTCTTTCCTTTTCAATCGACCTTTACCTACTGAAGTAAACTATATTTTTGTTAGTCTGAAACGCCGTTGTGTACGTAGGTTGAATCACATAGGCGTGCTGCTGCTGCAACAGCATCTGGCAAATTCAAAGAAGAAATTATCCCTGTAGTAACAAAGGTAATTTCGGGTGGTAATTTATTCTGGTTTAGAATTTTTATGATATTTTATTAACTTACATTGTTAATATGCAAAGATTGTGAATCCTAAAACTGGAGAAGAGAAGCCAGTCGTAATTTCAGTGGACGATGGTATCCGTCCAGACACAAACGTGGCAGGTCTAGCCAAGTTGAAGCCTGCATTTAAGAAGGATGGAACCACAACTGCTGGTATATACATACAAATCAAATTTCTGTAAAGTTTTTCCTCTGGAAAGAATAAAATCTAATAGAATGAAAATTGTATGTCAATTTTCTTAGGAAATGCTAGCCAAGTGAGTGATGGTGCAGGAGCAGTCCTCCTCATGAAGCGAAGTTTGGCTATGCAGAAAGGTCTTCCAATCCTAGGTGTTTTCAGGTAACTAAAACTGCTACAAGTTTTTGACTCATTTATTTTAGCTATTCTACATTAGTATTTGTTGACCAGATAAATGATGATTCCCTAACCATTTTGCATCCATTTGCTTAGTTTATAAATTATTAGTAGGGATCACTATCAATATGCTGCTTGAATTCTGTCACTTGATTTCAAAAGAACAGTTGAAGAAGCTAGGCCTTTGACTGAAATATTAAGTAAATATGTACATCAATGTGTACAAAGTTTACCAAGCTTATATGGATATACAAATTTAGAGGTTAAAAGCCTTTTAAGCAAAGGAGACGGGATATTTGCTGCACTAGATAATCAGTGCTTTTATTTTCATACTTATATGTTAGCTTAAAAGGCTGAGTTCCTCACATGGCTTTCTTATGCTCCATTTGCAGAAGTTTTGCCGCTGTTGGTGTGGATCCTGCAGTGATGGGCATCGGTCCTGCCGAAGCTATCCCAGTTGCAGTCAAGTCTGCAGGTCTTAAGATTGATGATATTGATTTGTTTGAGATCAATGAGGTAGTGGGTTTCCTTGATCTTATGTTGAAGATCAATTTCATTTGAACTTTCTTTTCTAAGTACGAAATTTGTATATTATTTTTTCCTCAGGCATTTGCGTCTCAGTTCGTATACTCTTGTAAGAAACTGGGGCTTGATCGTGAGAAGGTGAACGTCAATGGAGGTGCGATGGCCCTCGGGCATCCTTTGGGCTGTACAGGTACTTATGTTACAGAATTTTGATAATTAGTAGTAAGTGAAAAACTGAGTCCATGATAAATGATGAGAAGTGCAAACAATTCAGGACACAAACATGCTTCACTTTGTGCATGTATGATATTCTGCCAATACACTTTACTGTATAAAAAAAATTCTATATCACATATTCTAACTTTGAGGATAAGCTTGATCTTTAGGATGGTCTGATATATGATATCTATCATTTTTTTTTGTATCAGGGGCTCGTTGTGTTAGTACCTTGTTGTATGAGATGAAGCGTCGTGGGAAGGACTGTCGCTTCGGAGTTATCTCAATGTGCATAGGCACCGGAATGGGTGCAGCAGCTGTCTTTGAAAGGGGAGACTGTTGATGAACTCTGCAATGCTCGAACAGTCTAAAACTAACGAGCTTTTCTATCAAAGGATGATGCTCCATACATGTGCTTGTTGGTATCTTATTACACAATTTGTATTATTTGTATTAGGTATATAACTAGTCATATTCTCATGATTGAATAATTATGAGTTTTCAAAGTTGTATGAGTGAAAAAATCAAAATAAAATTATTTGCAACACCTCAAGAGTGGTGATTGGAATTATATCATTCTTTTTTCTAGCGAAAGTTTATCCATAAGAATGCTGAAGCTTTGAGACCTATGCTTAGGGAAAACCAGGTTGTTCCGAACTTTAACCCCTTCAAGCCTTCAGAAACAGAGTAGTTCCAAGATTGATCTAAACTGCAAACAATGCAAACCCTGACTATTCTGAGCTCTTTAGCCCTGAATCCGTCAAATTGTGCTCAGCAAACAATGCAAACCCCGGAAATTCTTAGTTCTTTGGCCCTGAATCCGTCGAAGCAAATATGACTAGCGCATTATGAAGACTATGTTCTCATGAAGTTGAATCTGCAGAGAAAGATGAATTTCAAGCAGCAAAAGGAAGTACTTTCTCAGCAAACACAACATGCCTGGACACAACACCCTTCTAGTTGAGTCAAGACACTGATACACCGATAGGGGATAACCATGATGTCTGGGTGAGTACCCCATAAACACACATGGTTTAGACCTAAAGTCCAACTTGTGCTTGTTGTATGGCCTCAGATAAGGATATCATTTGCTCCCAAACTATGAGGAAGTTGTAATCAAGTGCTCCTCCAGTGAGCAACTAATATGGAGACAGTTCACTCTGTGTTGAACACCAAGTGAAGCTAACTTATGCTGAAGGGCTTTGAACTCTCCTCCTCGATCAATTTACACAGCAACAACAACAAAGGGAAACACTTGTTACATGGTTAGAAGATGCATATCTCTTCTATTTCTATTACATATACTCGCATCGTTAAGGCATCTTTCTTCATCGATCGAAGTCTGCAATGAAGATGCATGACGTTTGTTATTGACAACTATGAGTAAAGCTTAGAGATAGGACTCCAAATCATAGTCCATGTCTCAGCTCCTACAAGTTGAGGAAGTATGCTAAGGTTTATAGTAGAGAGTAACCACAATGTGAAAGAACTATCTTGTTTGACAAACCACATATACACCTGGATTAAGAACTCATTCTCCAGCATGATCATCGATGACTGAAACAAGATCGAAACCTCCACTGACGGAATCAAGTGGAGTGGTAGAGCGATTCATTATTTGAATAGAACAAACGAATATGGGATTAAAATAGGACGATGATCACAAGACATCACCGATGGAAACAAAAAGCTCTGATATCACGTTCAAACATTTTAGATTAACAAAAATGAATAGTCGATCAACTATGAATGTCTGAGAACAGTGGCCAAAAAGGTTAAGTCTAACGATCTGACTAACAATTTCATTAACAGCCCAACAATGGCCCAACTATTTAACAAATTCAGTTACAATTGACTATGATCTTTTAACATTATCCACTTCTGCCTTTCCATCAGAGAGGAAACAAGTAGCAACCAAGTTAAAGCATTCGACTTTTAAGAGGAAAAGGGGAAAATATTATAGAAAATGGGGAAGGCAATCTACAGGCAAAAAGTTTTGCTTGATCACTTGCGTCCCTCTTCACAATCCCATCAATCATCTGCTGCTACTGCTACTCTCTTTGTTAGTTTAATCTCTTTTCTTTTTTGGATTTTGTTCATTTCATTTTTGTTCTTTCTGTTTTCTAAAAGTGGGTTTCTTTTCATATGACCAGCCTTCAATTTGTGCGGCGGGGGATAGCGCTGCTTATCCCCGGACTGCTGCTTTTGGGGATGATATTGTGATTGTAGCGTAAGCCATTTGGGGTTTCTTCAACTTAATTCTTCCAAATTATATATTTTTTGTTTGAACCCAAAGGAATTCATAGTAAAAAAAACAGTTTTTTTTTTATTTCATGTTTTATGTGTTTCTTTGATTTATTAATAGGGACATTATTGTCTCACAGGGCATGCCGCACTCCAATTTGCAAATCAAAGCGTGGTGGCTTTAAGGATACACCAGCGGATGACTTGCTTGCCTCTGTGTTGAAGGTTAAATGCTTTGCTTTTGGTTTTTAAGTTCAATTGTCTTTGAGATTAGTTTCCTCTTGCTTGCTTTCTTAAGTTAATTCTCCATGCAGGCTTTGATTGATAGAACAAAGGTGAACCCAAGTGAAGTCAGAGATATAGTTGTCGGTACAGTGTTGGCACCTGGTTCAGTCAGAGCAACTGAGTGTAGGATGGCGGCATTCTATGCCGGTTTCCCCGGTATGGTTTTTTCCGGGCTTAATATAAAAATAAGTACCCAAGCTATACCTAAAGTTAACTCTAGTTACAATGGCCAATTATTTAGGCACCTAAAATTAACTTTAAATATAGTTTAGACACTTATTTTTAAATTAAGCCTTTTTTTTTCTTTCACCCTTTGTGATTTCATAGTCTTTTCAGAGTTTTTTAACTGATTTGTTTTTAAATTTCTATTGAATTTTATTCGTTAGCAATGTGTTTTTGTATATAAATGTTAAAATAGTAACCTGTTTCAACCAGATACGGTGCCTATCAGAACTGTCAACAGGAAATGTTCATCGGGACTACAAGCAGTTGCCGATGTTGCTGCTTGCATAAAAGCAGGATTTTATGATATCGGTGAGGATATTTTATATTAGCTATATATTTTGAATGCTGAGAAAGATATTTCGGATATTCGAGCAACCTTCACCTTGGATCCGGTACCAACCTTCTTGGTTTCCAATGTAGGCATTGGTGCTGGATTGGAGAGCATGACAACTGATGGTTTAGTTGCTGGGTTAGAGAAAGTTAACCCAAAAGTATGTCAAACACACTGTTTTCACTATTTAGGATATGTTTCATGTTAGCAGCTTAATACGCAACTGCATTTATTTTTATAGACTGATAGCTTTGCCCAAGCCCGGGATTGTCTTCTTCCTATGGGCATTACTTCAGAAAATGTTGCACAGCGCTATGGTATCACACGGCAGGAGCAAGACCAGGCCGCTGTAAGTTCTTTCCTCTTCAATTTACCTTTACCTACTGATGTAAACTATATTTTTGTTAGTCTGAAACCCGTTGTAAACATAGGTTGAATCACATAGGCGTGCTGCTGCTGCAACAGCATCTGGTAAATTCAAAGAAGAAATTATCCCTGTAGTAACAAAGGTGATTCCGGGTGGTAAATTATTCTGGTTTAGAACTTTTATGATATTTTATTAACTTACATTATGAATATGCAAAGATTGTGAATCCTAAAACTGGAGAAGAGAAGCCAGTCGTAATTTCTGTGGACGATGGGATCCGTCCAGACACAAACATGGCAGGTCTAGCCAAGTTGAAGCCTGCATTTAAGAATGATGGAACCACAACCGCTGGTATATACATACGAATCAAATTTGTGAAAAGTTTTTTTCTCATCTAATTTGAATGAAAATTGTATTTCAATTTTCTTAGGAAATGCTAGCCAAATGAGCGATGGCGCAGGAGCAGTCCTCCTCATGAAGCGAGGTTTGGCTATGCAGAAAGGACTTCCAATCCTTGGTGTTTTCAGGTAATGAAAACTGCAACAAGTTGAGTTTGGCTCATTTATCTTAGCTATGCTACATTATCTTTTGGTGACCAGGTAAATGGCGGTTCCATTTTGCATTCATTTTCGTAGTTTACTGAAATTTTAGTAGGATCACTGACAGTATGATGTAGGACTTCTGTCACAAAAGAACAGCTGAAGAAGCTAGGGCTTTGAGAAAAAATAATAGACATTAAGTAAATATGTACAGCAATGTGTACAAAGTTTACCAAACTTATATGGATATACAAATTTAGAGGTTAAAAGCCTTTTAAGCAAAGGAGAAGGAATATTTGCTGCACTAGATAATCGGTTCGTTTTCTACTCATATGGTGGCTTTAAAGGTTGAGTTCCTCACATTGCTTTCTGATGCTCCATTTTGCAGAAGTTTTGCTGCTGTTGGTGTGGATCCTGCTGTGATGGGCACTGGTCCTGCTGTCGCTATACCAGCCGCAGTTAAGTCTGCAGGTCTTAAGATTGATGATATTGACTTGTTTGAGATCAATGAGGTTGTGGGTTTCTTTAGTTAATTTTATGTTGATGAATTTTACTTTCTTTTCTAAGTATACAATATGTTGATGAATTTTACTTTCTTTTCTAAGTATACAATATGTTGATGAATTTTACTTTCTTTTCTAAGTATACAATATGTATATGCTTTTTTCCTCAGGCATTTGCATCTCAGTTCGTATACGCTTGTAAGAAACTGGAGCTTGATTCTGAAAAGGTTAACGTTAATGGAGGTGCAATAGCCCTCGGGCATCCTTTGGGTTGTACAGGTACTTATCGTACTTAAATTTGACAATTTATAGCAAGTTAAAAACTGAGCTCATTATAAATAATTAAAGTGCAAACAATTCACGACACAAACATGCACTAGTTTGTGCATGTGTACCATTATACTTTTAATACTATATTACATGTTCTAACTTGTCCAGAGGATAAGCTTTGATCTTGAGGGTAGTCTGGTATTAATTTAAGATGTCTATCGTTTGTCTATCAGGGGCTCGCTGTGTTAGTACCCTGTTGTACGAGATGAAGCGTCGTGGGAAGTACTGTTGCTTCGGAGTGGTCTCAATGTGCATAGGCAGTGGAATGGGAGCAGCAGCTGTCTTTGAAAGGGGAGACTATGTTGATGAACTCTGCAATGCTCGAGCTGTCTAAAGCTAACGAGCTTCTATCAAAGGATAATGCTCCGTATATGTGTCTGTGTATATTCTTGTACAATTTGTATTAGGTATACGACTTTTCATGAATAATTATGAATTGCCAAAGCTGTTTGCGTAAAAAATCTAACTAATATTATTTGCAACACCTCAAGAGTGGTTATTGGAATTGTATCTTCTTCCTTTTTTAAGCCAAAATTTATCCATAAGAATGATGAATTTGAGATCCATGCTTAAGGTAAACAGGGTTGTTTCGAACTTTTACCCCTTCAAGCCTTCAGAACCACGGTAGATATAAACCGCAAACAATGCAAACCCAGTCAATTCTTAACTCTTTGCCGGCCTGCATCCGTCTGTTTCTAGCTCATCATGAAGACTGCTCAGCAGCCTGCAACCTGTGAAACAGGTACATGCAAACTGTTGCATACCTTCTCAGGGTGAAAGCGATTGGCATAATAGATGGAAGTTTTCATAATCACTTGCTTGAACTGCATCGATCTTTGAGAAGAGATGCATTCGGATCCATCATATATGTTAACAATGATGATGCATAAAAGTGACTTCAGAATTAAAAGCATTTGAAATTTTATGATCAACATAATCGATCATTAAAACATAAGATCACATATATGTTAACAGTAACATGCGAACTTCCAACATAAGAGCTTTCTATCGGAACCAGATTTCTCATTAAAACAGAGAATATAGCCTAGAACTAATATCATTAAAGAAACGTGGAACATACACTCTTATTCTGTATCAGGTGAGCCTCCCGGGACCAACTGCATCACATGAAAAAAAAATAGTATAAGAAATTTTATACCAGCATCAGTTGCAACGAGAGGCCTTCGATTTCACATTTTCCAAATTGCTACCGTTCAGTTATATCTAGCAGAAATTTGTTTCAATCCACGACGAAATAACTCATAAATATACCAATCCTAAGTAAATTACGGTTTTAACTTCCGACAAGAAATGCATTCACTAAATCAGAAAAAAAGGAAACATTTAATCTTACAATGGCAATGTTGTTTCCATTAAGTAAAATTTGATCAAGCTTTGTGATCCGTCTTCCTTCAGCAGTGATCTCACTGTAATATGCGAAAAAGAAGCGGAGAAGCAACCAAGATCAGCACAAGCTATAAGGAATGTTCTATTTAAGGGGCCAACCATTCAGAAATCACTTGAGCATGCGGTCGAGCACGGGGAAGACAGGTATATATACATGCTCTTCTAAAACACCATTATTTTTTAGTCAATGTGAGAAAAACAAATCAAACGACTTGTGCTCTCAAAAGAAATAACCATCACCACCTAGTAAACGAAATGCAAATATCGTGAAATCAGGCAAACATATTCAACTGAGACAGAATGTAAAAGCCGATACCAGTGCGGCTGGCAAAGTGATTGGATTTCCAGCCCAAAACATTTTCTATATATGGTATTGAATCAATCCTTAACTTCGTTTAGTCACTTCAGAAGTCATATAAAATACCTAATTCTATTGAGTTGATTCCATCCCCTTGACTTTTTTTACATTCAGTAGCAGCTTGCTGGTGTCCCTTCAGGTCAGGAACCCCTGCAATAGGCAGCTACCCTCATAAAACTAAATAACACTACTCTCATCCCTCCCCATAGGTAGCTACTATATGTATTAGTGCTTCTTAAGTCAATGTTGACCTGTATATAAGTCAGATGTTAGAAGGGGAAGCTTCCCATAATATGAGTACTCTTTCAGTCAAGTACCCAGAAAACATGATATGTTTCTCATCAATTTCGTAGCCCTATTTACTAGTGACCAAAGAATAAAACCCTAAAACACAGAACAGAACATTGCAGGGAAAGTTTGAGCTGATATATGTAAAGCTAAACAATAAAAGAAAAAGGGGAAGAACTATACTATTCAGTGACATCTTCGAGAACCATATTGACGTAGACATCGAAGCCTCTTAGAGTACCCACGAGTTCCTTGTCGCCTTTCATTATCACCCATATTTTGGACCCTATGCACCTATCTATCAACTCTGCAAGCAAAAAACAAAACAAATTGGCACTTTATCTGATTTTCTCGAGAAAGCGAAGGAAAAAAATCGGGTGGAGGGGGAAATGTCACCTGACGGAAGAAGCTGCGAGGGATTGTTTGTCATTGCTTTGACGGAAGTTTACACCGAAATGAAAAGCTCCAGTTTCGAATTCAACTTCAAAGGGCTACAAGCCTACAATAATCCTTTTGAGGACTAAAATATAGTTACCACTGAAAAGACTACAGATCAAACAGGCTCAGTTGCCCCAACATACTTCAAACCTCCGACCCACCACTGCTCATGTTGTTTTGGGCCGAAATGTGAGCTTTTATTTGCAGCAGTCTCACAAGGTCTCAAGTTCTCCTCCAGATTAATCCTCCCATGCTTATTACAATGGTGTCTATTGAAGTTATTCTTCAATACAGTTCTTTTTCTTTCTTTTTTTTTAATAAATTTAGAGTTAATATAAGATAATATATATTCAAAGATTCTCAACTATTTAACAATGAATGCTTATATTCATATTGAAACTCCAAGAGATAACAACAATCTTTTAACCACTAAAATTGTTTGATTCGTGCGTTTGTTTTTCTTTTCTATTTCAGAATTTCAAATGTGAATTGCATGAAGAAATGATTTTTTATGGAGTAATGGCTGAATTGTTACCAGCATTTATACGTAGCAGACAAAGTTACTTTTGTAAACATTAATGAACAACAATCCTAATAAGTACAATTTATTTCAGAGTTAATTCACCAAACATCCTAAATTATGTTCTTTATTTTAAATTAGTCTTCAAAATTTTAAATGTTTTAATTTCATCCCTGAACTATGTCTCACATTCTAAAATACTTCTGAAACTTTTGAACATTTTAATTTCACCTCTAAAAAATTATGTCCCTCATTCTAAATTAGACCCTAAACTTTTGAATGGTTCAATTTTTTCCACAAACTATCAATATATGCTAATTACATGTGACATGATTAGCATATTCTGATAATTTAGAGGTAAAATCAGAATATTCAAATGATCGATGACTAATTTAGAACGAATGTCATAGTTTGGAATGAAATTGAAAGATTCCAAAGTTTAAGGACCAATTAAAATGATAATCATAATTTGGGAATGAAATTGAAATGTTAAAATATTTAGGGACTATTTTAGATGAGGGCCACAATTTGATATGTGTGGTTCAATTATCTTTTTCGTTTATAATAATAATTAATATAATATTTTACTAAATTTTAAAAAGGTGTTTTTTACTAATTAACAAAAATAAATAGAAAAAAGGTAGTTTATAACATTTAAACTATTTCCCTTTTAAATAAAATACACCAATAGTCCCTAAATTACGAGTATTATTTAATTTTTTTATATAATAAACTTTTAAAAGTTATACCATTAAAATTATCACTATTACAAAAATAGCTTCTCCACCCTTACCTACCATTATGGGGATGGCACGAGATATTAATTTAATGATTAATATCTTATTCGACCCTTAATCATTACTAAAAAATTATTTTAGCACTTCGTAATATTTCCAAACAATAAATTCAAAATAAATAAAAAATATTGAAAATAAATAAAAATATACACAATTATATTTCTTTTGAAAATTATAAAAATATTTCTTAACCAATAACTAGTTGATATAGTGAGATGAGGTATTAGATTTCTTAAGTAAGGTCGAGGGTTCAGACCTCGACATTTGCCAAATGGAGCAAACAGAGTTAGGAGGGTCGCTATTGCCTCTGCAGTACCCGATATGTATTAATTGATCAATAGATCGAATATCAATTATTAATTCAAAAAAATATTTCTTAAATTTATAATAATATATATTTTAAACATAGAGTTAACTACATCATATGTCCATAACCTATAACTCTCATTTTAAATTAATCCTTAATTTTTTGAATATCCTAATTTAATTCTCAAATTATGACTCTCATTTTAAATTAGTCCTTAAACTTTTAAATGTCCTAATTCATTCCTAAACTATGACCCTATTTTTAAATTGATCTCCAAACTTTATGAAGTACAAAAGGCTTTCGAGGCATTTACACCTCCTTATTACACGACCTAAAAAAGGGTTTGATCACCCATTTAGGGAAAAACATTTTTTTGAGTGCTTCCGCCTTATACACGGAAGATTGGATTGAATCTTCCAATTTCATCCACACACTCACAACCATTTGATGTTAAACACTCACACCCTTGACATTTATGGTGTTCAAATTCGAGACCTCAAAGAATAACATCAATTCCTTTACCACCGAGATCACTTCTGATATTTTTTTTATAATATCACTTGGGCTTGTAGTTTTATTATTTGATTGAAGTGTCATAATTGATTTTATTATCATTTAGATCTACATAGATTTTATACATTTTTAAATTTTAAATAATTGTATGATATTTTTTACATGATTATAATTTAAGAAATATTTCATAATTAAAAAAATGATTTTTCATATACAATTTTAAAAATTTATAATTAGTGATAGATAATGTCGAGTGATTGTCTTGTAACATTTTAATAAATTTAATGATAATTTTGTAACTCATAAAAGTTTATTAGCCAAAATAACCAAATTGTCATAGTTTAGGTACTATTGAATACTTTACCCTTCCTTTTTCTATTGTGTACTTTACTCTTCCTTTCTTGATTTACAAGAAAAAAAAATATTCAGATTAAGAAAAAAGCAAAAAAAGAAGGAAAAAACATGGGCCCAGAGGTTAGGGGCCACATAATGTAATCCAATCTAAACCGTTCGTGTACGTAAGTCGCTTTTCTGTAGCGAGTATGGGAAAGAAAGTTATTCTCTCCCGAAAACTAGAGCAAATCAGAAACCCCAATAAAAACCCGAGAAGGTGAAAAAAATGGGTGAAAGCATAAGCAAAGGCAAGAGAGGAAAAGGGGTTCGCTAAACAGCCAACGTTTTATTTCGTCCTGCTACTGGCTAGGGTTTAAATCAGGGTTTCTTTTTCTTGTCACTCTTCCACCATCAACAGCCAATGGATAGATACCAGAAAGTAGAGAAGCCAAAGCCTGAATCACCCATTAACGAGAATGAGATCCGAATCACTTCTCAAGGCGCTATTCGAAACTACATCAACTATGCTATTGCTCTTCTTCAGGTCCCATCCCTCTTCTCCTTCATCCCCTTTTATCATTTACACTCATTCATGTTGCCATTTTGCTTCTTGGGCATTTCGTCCGCGTGGGTTTCTCTCCTTGTTTGGGGTAACTTTCTTCTATGGGTTTATTTGCCTCGGTAGCTGTTTTTGGGCTTCCTTTTTCTTTACTGAGTTTTTGGCTTAGAGATTTGACGTCTGTAAATTTGTTCCAGGGTTTACGGGGTTTTAGCGTTAGCTACTTGATAGTTTTTTTTGGGCTTCCTATTTCTTTACTGAGCTTTTGGTTTAGAGATTTGACGTCTGTAAATGCTTGCATTGGGGTTTATGGGTCCTTTTTTGTTATTATGGTAATATCTGCTCTATTATTGTACTGCTTTTAGTCTTATGAAATTTGGGGGTTTTAAAAAATTAAACCGTATTTTATTTGTGTTAATCCATATATTGTTTCTATATTCTATTAGTTCATATGCTATTTGATGAGTTGGTATTGGTTTCCATATGCTTAGCTAAATATGGAAGAAATCAAATTCGAACATGGGATTTTCTTTTATGCTATTCTTTTCCTGGAAGCTGGTTTCTCATCCTTTTGGCTATACTATTCTTACGTTGATTGACATGAATTATATAGTTTACTTCAGCCTCTCCTGGTAATGGTGTTTCACTTTTGTTTATGTTTTCGTAATGATATCTGAAACCATTAATCTTTTTGTATTGAAGTGTTCTTATGATGTTTTTTAAGGACAAACATGTGAAGGAAATTGTCTTGAAAGCAATGGGGCAGGCAATCAGTAAGACAGTAGCAATTGCGGAGATTTTAAAGGTTTGTGCCTTTATTGATCATCCTTGCATTTTGTTTTCCACTTTTCATGATTAATGAATCTTGTGCCGTGAAGCAGAAAAGGGTTCCTCGCTTGCATCAAGATACTGCAATTAACTCTGTGAGCATAACTGATATTTGGGAACCTATTGAAGAGGGCCTTGTTCCGTAAATATCCGTCTTTCCTACCCGCATGTATAACATGTTGAGTTTATACTTATATGTATGAGTATTTAATACCCTGTTTTGTGCAGTGTGGAGATGACTCGTCAGGTCTCAATGATATCTATCACCTTGTCAACCAAAGAGCTTAACAAAAACTCTGTTGGGTACGCTAATTTGTCTTGTATTTTATTTGGTGTTTTTTTTCAACAACGTGGAAGTAAATTGATGCGATATTGGGCGGTAGCCAGTTATTACTTTTTTCAGGGAAATGAAACTATGGAAGCTTAGATTCTTCATATTATGCTTAGCTGGAGTTATATACACTAGATGCCAGTTCTTAAATGTTTTAACTTCTGATGATACGGAAATTATTATTATGTTGCTCATTTGAATGACATAATTCTTTGCTGATATGACTTGAATCGTGTTACTCCAGGTATCAAGCTCCACATTATGCTGAACAACCCAAGCCACAATATCATTATCAGCAGCAGCAACCACCCAAACAAGCTCGTCTGCCATATAATGCTGTTAATGAAGGTGCTTTCAGGAACTAGTAGTTCTGCAACTGTGTCCTAAGAACTCTGTTATTTTAATCTCAAACTCATTTCCTGTGTTCCATATTTAGATTCATATGGCCAAGGAAGGGGTCGTGGTAGAGGCAGAGGGAGAGGGCGGAGTTGGGGCAGGGGTGGATACTCAAACTATGGAAATTATCAAGGTATTGAATATGGATTTGGATAACGTTATGGTAATTATTGACATTTTTCTTTGCACTTCTACATTTATCAAGTATAAATTTGTATTTTAGTTGGACCATACTTCATACTTCACTTATTTCTTAATAGATAATGATGGATACTCAAACTGGGGCAGAGGTGGTGGGCGAGGAAGAGGTTGGGGTTATCGTGGTAAGTATAGTTTATTCACAGCCTTATTGAAGGAATGGTATTTTTTTTTTTCACTTCGAGAAGTTTCATGTTTGTGCATTTATGCGAGTAACCATTGTTAAAATCTTCATACATGCTAAACAAGAATAGTTCATAGATGAATGCCCTTTGTCTTGAAATTGCAAACATCTGTCTTGACTTTCCTTGCTCATCAACCAACCCATTGCTATTTTTCACAATACAAATGATGTAGAACATAGATTTCAGAGTAGATCATACAAAAAATTGTCTAGTTTATAATGCCAATTGTGATGAAGTAGAGTTCAAAGGAAATACTCAATGATCATACGAATGATATGTTTAGTTTGGGCCAACAACTTTTGCTTGTTATGAGCCATGACAGTTATATCTATCAAAGTAGCTCAATGTGGAGAATAGAATCCATTAAAAATGAATCTCAAATTGCTGACTATTACTTATCCATATTTGTTTGGCTGTTTTATTCCGACAGGTGCTGATTATGAAAGAGGTAGAGGTGGTGGTAGAGGCTATAGCCGTGGCCGTGGAAGGATGGGTGGTGGTGGTCGATCAAGGGGTGGTGGCTACTAAAGCACAATCAAAGGACCCATAAAGCTCGTGTTGTCCCCCCCCCCCTTTTTTAGCTAGATGCTTGCCTTGGTCAGTGGGAAATTATGGAAGTAGGTGTGTTTATAATAGCGTGAGATTGTGGGTTAAAATCTCAAGCATTGTTAAGCAGTGGTTTTGTGTTTCTGCCTGGCATCATATATGGATGAGGGAAATGATTTTATTTCGCATTTAGCCAAGGCCAAGAGGATGGGTTTATGATTTGTGCTGTATTTCAAGTTTATATGTAAATATTTGATTTCTTTATTCCTTTGACCTCTTATCTTGTCTCTTTGCCCAGCCAATGCAAAGCTATGTCATAACAAAGGTTACCATGAAAGTTGTGGTTAAAATGTATTGACCTTATGCCTTGGAGACCATAAAGCCAACAAAAAAAAATCAAGGTATTGATATTAAAAAGAGAGTCAACGTTTTTATTTAAATAAAGGGTATCGATATCAAAACATAATATCAATATCATATTGAGATTCAAAGTCTTTTTAATTGAAAGTATCGATATTAATCTTATAATATCAGTGTTGAATGAATAAATATTGATATCCTTATAATGGTATCGATACCGATCACTTAAGATGCTTAAATTATGTAAGTAGTCATGAAATTTTATATTATTTATGATTTAATCATCAATGTAACTGAAATTGTAAGAGATTAATGGCGATGACTTCAAATAATATTTTACTTGCATATTAGTCCTTAAAATCATAATTGGACAAATTAATCTTTCGATAAGAAAAATTAAGGTTAATAAGTTATCATTACAATTTCGAGCAGTTAATGTAATATCACTGATATACTTTAAGACTAAACCGAATTGATGGTGTTATATCGATCTAATCCAAAAATGATATAACTTCTAATTCAGATATCCAAAAATGATATAACTTCTAATTCATATATGTCAATAAGTTTGAATTGTGTGATTGATGAGCCCAACTAGAAGCTACATTTTTCTACCCTATTTCTACAAAGTTGTCAAATCAAATACGAGTTGCTATCTACTACTTTTTAGACATAATGAAAATAGAGGATTGTCTCAGAAAAGGTAGACTAATATATGACGTTACCGGAAATATATTAAGATATTTAATAAAGTCAGTCACAGTAGAACATCCTTAGAAATAGTATACTCCGGGAAAGAGTAGCTATTAGATTATTGCACTTGTTAAAGCTTTCATACAATAGTTGGAGGACATAAACATTGAGTAGAATAATTGTAATTTACAGCAACCTGAAGTGAGTAATATGGTTTTGATTCCTGGTTTAAACATGACACAAGCAGCTCATAATGATGATGGGTGTGAGTACAAACCTGAATGAGCATGTTCTGATCCATGCATAATAATAATAATAATAATAATATCACACTAAAAAAGGAAGAAAAATATGCCAAAGATATAATCTAAACCATTTCCTACTTGAACTAGAAAGTATATCTAACTAGGGACAGTAGGATTTTATCTTAAAGAACGAATTTATAATATTTAGGGGATAAATTTATAAAATGTTAAGAATAAATATAATTATCAATAAAAAATATAAAAATACTTAAATTCTATATAAATTTAATTATTTTAAAAGAATCCTAAAGTTAAAAAAAAGAGTCTAGGAAAATAATATTCCACAATTTAAAATAATTTTTTATATTAATTTAATAACAAATTACAACTTAGTTAACTAAACAAAAAATTAAAAATCTAAACGATTCGACTTCTGTTCCAAATTTATAACATGGATGAAGGGCATCAACACCCAACTGGCTTTTCAAATTTTGCAATATTCATAATTTATTTAGCTTTGAATAATATCATTATTTATTCTTAAATTACAAATATTATATTATGTGTTGTTAAGAGCCCATAACAGAGGAAGGCTATAAAGCTATAGTTTAATGGGATTCAGGCGGAATATAAATTGACCCAACCCTTACATTGAACCCGGATGGAAAACAAATTCCTTAAACCCTACCCGACCTCTGTAAACCCTCATCCAACTTCAAGTTTCTAGTTTAGAATTGCAGGCTAAAAAAGGGAGACAGCCGTCTTCAACTCGTTTAATTCCAAAATCCCATTTTATTTTCCTGCAAAATTTTCTTAGAATATGTCTTCGAGACATCGCCATATCAAGTTTTTTATCCCATTTTTCCTCAGGTCTTTTATAGTTTGCCCTTTCCTGGAATCATTTTTTCCCTAATCAATTATGTGTTGATTAACTTTATTTTTCTCTCTTAAATTCAGGTTATCATTATCGACCTTATAGACAATCACTCAACTCATTAGCTTCCTCATCGAGTCATTTGTTTCAGCATTGCAATGAAGTTAACGCTAGATTTTTCGAGAGGTTTTCGGGCAACCCTTATAGAAAAATATTAGAATTTAAAAGCTCATAATTTATATTCTTGTTTTAACGTAAGTTACAGCATTTGAGTAACTTTCACTCTCCTAATTTACCAAATATAGTCTCTTTCAGGCACTCAACAATCTCACAACAATCTCGTTTCTCTCCTTCTGAAACCCATTTATTGGCTTTCATCAAATCTGCTTTTGATCAGCTCCAAGGTATTCAAATCTACTACTTTTTTTCTAGTACTTTGAATAGATGTTAATTAACTAATATAACGTCTTCTATTTAGGTCCTCATCATTTCTGGTTGAATGAAGATGATGGAAACAAAGAAATTTTAAAGAAGGGTGGTACGGTTTTAGTTGTTGCTGGAAGGTTTTTTGAGAATTCAGAGAAAGAAGGACGTCATCCGGGTGTTATACTTGAAAAAGTGAAGTTGCTTAAGCAGAGGTAGTGGATATTTATTTCTCTTAACTTCTTGAATACTGTGTTTTTTCCGTTTGAGGAAAAAAGTTAATATTTTGTTGTTATAGGTTCCCTTCAATAGTGGTTATTGGTTTCCAGGACCGTATTTCAGTTTGCTCTGCCGATGATTAAAGTCAACTTATTCAATTGATAATGGAAGAATACACTACTTTTCTTATTTTATTGACAAACAAAAACTTTTCTAAGGTACAATTTTGAAATGGAGATATGTAAGGCTACATGGCTGCAAAGCCATACATAACCACGAATGAAATCTTTGCCATAAACTAGCGAGAGTTGCATTTTACTTCAAAACATACTCTCACAATTAAGTTATGCCATCAAGTATGATTCACTTAGCTTCTTAGAAGGAACCAGTGAAATGTTTCTCTGTATTCTGTTGGCATTCAACATAGACCAATCTTATCTTATATAATACCATTCTCTTCCAACTCCTTTTATGTATTTATACCTTAGTATAAAAATGATTATTTTATTAAAAAGCAATTGAAATAGAGGGAAAAAGGAAAATGTGTCAAAGCATTGACAACTCAGAGCAACTTGGAACTAGGACATAGTTTAAGCATGGATTTTTTGCGATGAATTTCTCCAAAGCTATGTCATGAATTTTTAAAGTTGTATCATATGGCCATGTATTGCCTCTATGATTTTTAACATGGTTTACAAATTATAATATGTTTACCATGGTCGACTAATTTCTTCTCAAGGATCTGTTCTGTTATATTTCTTGACATTATACATTTTTCAAGTAGATTGATTTTTTTTCTCTTTATGTACTTAGTTGACGGATGAGGCTTGCTTCATTTTGTCTAAAGATTTTAAGAATCCTCTAGTTTTCCCTGAGAAAGACCTGGATATAGCAATGCTTAACAAAGGTATATTTCTTACTTATGTGTAACAACTAATTTATTCACTTTGATGTAGTTGTTTTTACATTAAGAAACTTTCATAAGGAATGAATTGATTGCTGCGCTCTCTTTCTGTTACATTTTTGAACAACCAAAACATTTATTTTCTCATACAAATTTTATGGCCTTTAGACTCCAAAATTCTTAGTATGATTGGTGAACTTTGCTTCTTAATTTGCACATTCAAAAACAATCATTTAAGGGTTAACTTATGAATGTAGGCTTCTTCATTTGAGTTTTGAGCTTATTCATTTGCATGCTAAAACAATCATTTGAGGAATAATTTATAAAGCCTGAAAATGAGGTGGTGAACCTATAAAAGCATTGTCCTAAATTCTTCTCTATCCCCTTTTTTCTTCCTCCTATATAGCTGTTTGTATTCCCTAAGCTCCTACATTTTGACATGCTATTCCTTTCAACATGGTTATTACTATATCAATACATTTATTCTTTATGGCTTTTACATCTTTCCCCATCTCTTTGAGTTAGATCTCTTCTCAAAGGAGTTATCTTGTTATGAATATGGTTTGTGGATTATGTTTCTACCTGTGGTTATGCACTTTCCCGACATTCACATGTACACATATGGGTACACAATTCTCCATGCATGCTTGTACAGTTACATCTAACTTTCTTATCTTCTAGTTCTGCTTCCTTTTGCAGATTTTGAGGAGTTAAGTATGCAATGCAAAGTTAAGAATACCTCAGTTCATAATTTGCAAAGTTCGTGATCAAAAGAAACTGAGATCATTAAGGAACCCCAATTTTCACTGCTTTGCGGAATTTACTTCTTTACTTTCCTGGTATAGGTCTCTTATGGCACTATTTCGTCTAATAGTACATAAGCTTCAGCAAATATGTAAGATGGTCAAATGAAAAATGCAATATTCTCAAAGCACTCATTTTTTCTTAAACAACATGTCTCTTAGTAGATGAAAGTGGGAAGCGCCTGTTCCTTTCTGATAGCAATCATCATCGGATAATTATATTTGATGGCAACGGGAAGATTTTAGACTGTGTAAGCACAAAAACTCATACATTGTAGAGGCTGTTTTAAGAGCTATCTTTGGCTGGTGATTATCCTCAACTATGCAATATTTTGATTGATAAATTTAGTATATACTGCAACAAGTAGAAATAGAAAGAAGGAAAATTGGGTACTTCCCAAACTAATTAATTAGGAAAATGCAAAAATGAAAAGGTTTTCTTTTGGGGAAAAAAACAAATCAAACTGACTCTTTCCTCCTTTTTGGCTACTTAGATGATCTGAAATAGGTTAGGACGACATCGTTTTGGCATATTGCTAGATCTATTATAACGGTTGAATAGTCTTCAACGGATGCCACATAAGTTTTGTGCTCTTTGTGCTAGTAATAATTTCTGCCTAGGGATGTAAAATTTTGGGTTCAAAGGTTGCTCTTATATCCTAGTTATTGTTTGTTTGGCATTTCCCTTTATATATAAGCTGAAATAAGGGACAAAACAATTTACATTCCAACTTAAAAATTTT